CACTACTTCGGAGGGAAAGAAGTTAGCCCCTAACTCATCACCGGATGGCAGAAGCTTCTAGTCTTACTAAAACATGCCAGAAGATACTTGGTTACTGGAGCCTCGAATTTCCCTCTGGGCCCCCGTCCAAGCTGCCTTCTCCGTAGGTGCTTCTGTTACCCATCCAATCGGGGAATTGAGCTGCAGTGGTAAGGAACCCTTCAAAAGCCAAGTTCAAGGTGAAACTGCCTTATCAAGTTCAGCATTTGAGTGTGTCAGGTGAGGGTGAGGTCCAGGCAAGTGCTCAAGAAGCGGAGTCTCTACCGAGCGCAATCCAGCCAGCGGGCTATCACAGTCACTGCTTCGGGGACTCCAGGACCCAGCACACACTGAGCGCTCGCGGTGTGCCAGGCACGTGCGGGCACACGGCCACTTGCATCCTCTCATTTAGTCTCATAGCAACTCTCTCAAGTTTAGACTCTTCTTATCGTCACCTTACATGTGACACAAGAGCAGGGTCACTCGCCCAGAGTCCCAGGCAGGTTTGGTGCAGCTCATCCTCCGCCTTGGGGAGGGAGAGATCTGGTGAGTGGTTGTCTCATGGGTCCTTAGCAATCTCAGAGAGCATCCAGCCCCAGCCCCTGTGGGACACATGGAGAAACTAAGGCCCAGTGAAGGAAAGAGTAGCCCGGATTCCACAGACAACATCAAAGTCTGTGCAGTTACCCATGGAGAAGTACCCTGTGCCTGAATGTCCCCACTAATTGGGAGATCCATTATTTTGCCTTCCCCAGATTGCAAATTTGTATCAGTCCGTGCTGCCTCTGAAAACGTTTTGCACATGATGTTGCAAACACAGTTCATCTCTTGCTTCAGGAGTTATATAAACGAGTAGACTGTGCAGCCAGGATCACTAGCTTCTCGTGATGTGAATTCTGGATTTTATTGCTACTAGCTGTTGACCTTGATCAAGCATTTACTGTTGAAATGGAGACAATGATATTCACAGGAGGAGGTGTTGTCTACTAGGCCATTGCCATCTTGTGCCAATGGGAGCCTCCGACGCAAGTCCCCTATGTAATTTTAAGGTTTCTAGCAGCCAGATTAAGAGAGATGAAGGGCGTGCACCATTATTAATTTTCATAATTTGTTTCCTGTAACCTAGTATCTTCAAAATATCATCTTGTCAGCATCTAGTCGATGCAGAGTTGTGAGCGAGATCTTCCATGTTTTAATTTCATAGTAGGTTTTCCCACTCAGTTGTGCATTTTACACCTACAGGACATCTGCCTTTGCACTAGCTGTGTTTCAAATGCGTGGTAGTCACATGTGGCCGGAGGCTGGTGCACGGGGTGGTCCTGTTCTGAGGCTTGCCCTGATCTCAGCAGGTAATGGGCTACCTTTGAAAACCTTCCCTGCCTAGGTCACTTTTTTCCAGTGTCCCAAACAGGATTTTCACATTCCCTGAAAATATTCGCTTTGTCCTTTGTCCTACCGTGCTGGGAGTGCTCGCAACAAGCATAGTGGACTGAGGCACACGGAGGCAGAGGAGCGCAGAGGAGGGTGGGATCATAAATGTGGGAGGAACCATGTTCTTCCTGAGCAGGGGCTTGGTCTTGGTGAATCCTGGAGCTGAGGTTCTCGTCCCTCTGAGACTAAGACCTCTGATGTGCAACTCAGATGCTCCTTTTGCTGCACCTGGCTCAACTCTGTGACCTGAACAGAAACCCTCATTAGGAGAGAGCACCACCTCGGTGGCCGGCTTTTCCATCTGATAATTATTAGGTGGAAGGGCTGCAACCATGCTTGGGCTGTGCTTGGAGAACCACAAAAAAGCTCACGCCAGGCTTTACCTTCCAGGGGCTGGGATGGGAGGTGGAAGCCAGCATCTTCCTGGGATCTCCTGGCAGCAGCAGTGCCCAGGGCTCCTGCAGAGGGCACGGTCAGGCCAGGGGAACTGGAGCCATGGAGGACCAACCAAGATGAAGAGGGGCCCCTGTAAGCCTGGTCCGGGGCCAAATGGGAACCACGGGTGAGCAGCTCAGACGCAGGACTCCTGGGCTCTCTGGCGGGACTGTGGGTGGCAGAACCCATCACTCACCCTTCACCTTCAGTTCCCAGCTGGTCCTTCCTTTTCTCTGGAAGGCAGGCAGCAGCTGAGGCCAGAGCTCTGCATTCAGATGGGCTGGGTTGGAATTCTGGCTCTGTCGCCTACTGTGTGGACTTGGCCAGTACCTCTCAGCATTGGTGCCCTCATCTGTGAGTGGAGTGGTGATTTCTTCCCGGTGTTTTTTGAGCATTGAATGAGGTGATAAAAGAGAGGCTTAGCATCATGCTAGGCTGGTATTATCATACTTTACTGGGGAGAAAGCTATTCACCATACTCCTCAACTGCCCAGGACAGAGGTTCTTTATTATTTTTCTAGGTTAACTCATTTTAGGGGTTAAAAATACAACATTAATATATGCCTATACTGATAGAGGACAATCTCTGATGTATATTTTTATGTGACAAAAGCATGTGCAGAACAGTATGTTGTAGAAACCACTGTGGAGTGGATATATTTGGCCTACACTGGGAAGGTCACAGCGGTACTGGGGAGGGGCATGGGGGGGCATCTGAGAGATTCCCTTCCCATTGTCCAGTCCCTGCTCACATTTTCCCAGAGTGTGCATTCCTGTTTTTTTTCTTTTTGAGCATGCATTCCTTTTTAAATTTACAGTAAACTTTAAAAATTCCCTTCTGGTCTCTTACCAATTACAAAGGGTAGAAAATGTCCACATTCAGAAGGAAGAGCGTAGAAATCCAGCGCTGCTCCTTTGGTTGGTGCTCAAGGACCCAAGGTCCCTACCTGAGAAGATGGCTCTCTTTAAAATTCATTTTCCATGCAGGCATTGTGCCAGCATCTAACTCAGGCAAAAGGGAAACACCAAGGGAACAACTGCACATGAACACACATTCATCCCACAAACCAAGCGTTTCACACCCATACACACAATGCAATCCAGGCGTGACACATGTACCCCTCAACAGCCAAGCCACCTCACCCACATACAGTGACTGAAGGGTCCTCTGCTTCACTGCTTATGTCCTAGTCCCACAGCCTTCTCTATTTACAGACATGGTCCCAACAACCAAACCCTTCATGTGCCCCAAGAAGCAAAATATTTCGCGTGCAAACACACACACACACACACACACACACACACACATCAAAAGGGCTTTACCTACACACCCAGTAAAGCACTTCCTGCACACACAGCAATAACCAAAAAGCTTTACACACACACACACACACACACACACACGCAAAACGCCAATAATCTAAGGGCTCCACAACCCACTTAATGATCAAACCACCTCACACCAATAACCAGAGATTCACACCTTCCCCCACAACCAAAGCCCTTCACAGCCATGCATACACACTCCGAAGAGCTTTACTCCCAACCAGGGTGCTTTGTGTACAGCCCCCAACAACCAAAATATTTCACTCCTGCACCCCAACAGCTAAAGCGCTCCATGCAACCCTTCCCCCCAAACCCCTAAAGCACTCGGATTTGCTTTCTGCAGCAGCAGATACTTGAACACCAAGACATTAGACTGCGACTTTCTTTTCAGATTAATGAGCAGAAAAAGATTTGAGGCAGGAAGAGGGGGGCAGGAATGGTGGGAGAGAGCAATTACACCCAAATCTTTTCTCTGTTGATTAGGGATTCCTTCTCCAGCCTGCTTTGGCTCCGGCTAAATCTTTTTCTAATGAGATGTGGCTTATCCAGATCAGGGCGCTGAGAAAAAAGTTGCAATTAACTTTAAGAAGAAAAGGAGTGAATGAGAAAGAAGGAAGTGTGGAGGGGGCGGCAGGGCCTGTGAGGAGGGGCCAGGAACGGGGGCTTGCTCTTGGCAGCCGGGAGAGCCAGTGACGGAAGAGACTTCCTGCAGGTGGAGAGCCAGCGCGGCCTCATTGGGGCCATCAGCCCCTAGGAGGCTGTCACTCCTGCTCTGTGGACTGTAGAGCTGAGGGAAGGTCCCTGGGATGCTCCTGTGTGCGTGGGTCAGGCCTCTCTCCAGGCACCTTGGACCCAAGTCAAGGGTGAGGAGGTGGTGGGCTTCCTCACCCCCCACAGCACACTCCCTCTCAGCTGCCTCGTCCCTTTTGCCCGCTCCTTGCAGAGGACACAGGCTCTCAACCACCTGCCAGGAACCTCTGTGACCTCTATCTCCACGTCAGGTCAGCGCCCTTTCTTATCTTAGGAGCTGCTGGGATTCAGCCATCCCCTGGCAGCCGAGCCAAGAGCGACGGTGTTGAAGCAGGTCTCAGGCAGGAGGGCCAAGCCTGGGGTCCACTTGTCCTGCCTCACTCTTCCAATCTAGGTGTGGGGTCTTAAGCTGCTTTCATGCAAGGGACTTAGAGGGGTGAGAGGGGCTAGGATTGAAAGGGGCGTTTCACACTGGAATGGGGAAATGCCCTTGAGCTCTGGGAACTGGCCCAGACTGACCTTCCTGTGCCTCGGCTTGCCAAGGTCAAGTGTAATCAAGCCACAGCCATAGGCGAGTGGCTTCCTTTTTCTGGGGCAGAGTGTCTCATCTCTGAAGACAAAAGGGGATGCAGCAGATTCTGTAGCCTCTGCCAATCACATTGCCCTCCAATCCGTCGAGGGGCACCGACAGCCCCTGCCTATCCCCGTTTGAATTGTCTCATCTCAGTTCCCTGACTCCCCCCTCTCTGCTTTGCACATCCCCAGGACATGTGCGCCTTCAGCACATTCTTATACATCCAGAGACTATTTGTACCCTATTCGGTGATAAATGTCCAGTAATCCCTGAGGGCACCTTACACAAATGTTGAGGTCTCTAACCTGGCCCTCATGGGGGGCGGTCTCAGATAATAACTCCACATCTGTACACCAGCTGAGCTGGGAACCCCAAGCTTGGATCAGCTAGAATTAGGCTAGGAGGTTGGATTAGAGAAGCCAGGGGGTGTAATCGCCACCTCCTCCGGTCACAAACCAGCACGTACACTGAAGTGGCCGAAGCGTCCGAAGCTGGATGTCCTTTTCCCATCTTGGCGACCTCTCACTGAGAATTGGAAGGGAGTTTTATTAGATTGCTGGTGACTCCATGTGAAAAGTGATCTGAGCCTCTGAGTCTTGCCCCACCTGACTATCCTGCTTGGCACACAAAAAAGAAAGTTCCCTGTGTGTTGGTGGCCACCATGGATACATGGCTCCCTTGTGAGGTGTCTGGGTGATGCCTTACCAAATAAGCCATGCAGATGACCCCAGGCTGGGGGACAGGTGAGCTGAGCCCAGGTCTCCTACGTCTAGGTTCCAAAGAGGTCAGAGGAGGTCCCAGCTTCCAATCTCAGAGCCTGGTACCTGAGTTCCTGGGCAGCCCTGTTCTCTGCTCCTGCCTGTCCCTTGTGAGCTGCTGAAGACAATCTGAGCTTTCTCCTGTTTCCTCCTGGCTGTTGTCAATCTAATAAGCATATGTGCTAGAAATACTAGCTGTAGTGCTAAGTTAGAAATTCTTCTTAAACATATAGTAAGGTCAGATGAAGGGAAAAAAAATAGAAAACAAAACACAAAACCCCGAAACAGAAATTGGACACAGAAGGGCAGATGTAGACTGAACAGGAAGTGCTGGCCCTAGGCTAAATGAAACAGCTGTCACCATTGTTCGGACCGAGAACTGCTTTTGCAAACTCCATGCGGGCCAGGCTCAGAAAGCAGATGTTAATAATTACAGCACATGAAACGAAGGGCACAGGATTAGGCAAGTGACGAAAAAGAAATGGTACCAGTAGATTTATAACTCGCTCAGGCAAATCTGCTTGGGCTTGTGTGGGGGGTGGGCCAGGCAGCCTCACTGCAGAGCACCCCCATCCCAAGTCCCCTTCCTAGTTTGGCCTTTAGACTTCTGGGATTGTCTCAGAATTGGGGGATTGCTTACGTTGCTTATGATGGTGGACCGCGGAGGTCTTTCCTAGCTTCCTTTCCAGGACTCGATGAGTACAGGGCCACAGGCAATGGCTTCTGATCTACAGGGAAGAGATAAAATCCCCAATACTCAGCCCAAGTGCTAGAAGGGAATCTCTGGGCAGACAAATGGTTGGATGGCTGGAATGGTAAACAAGGACTTTTGAGGACACAAAGCCAGCCAGGCATCCTGGAGATCTTGCTTTTACCGCAGTGTTCACGTTTAAAATCCAGGAGCTCAAGTTCTTTGCAGCTGAAATTGATTCACACTGTCAAGCGGGCCATCTCCTCATGCCTTGGAGAAGGCCAGAGGCGCCGGAGAGTGTTAGGATAGTTGCAGAAAGAAAGCAAAGCAACTCTCTTGGGCTAATTACAGAAGTAGAAAAAGCCGTCTCCACATGTTTTGTGAACATTCCTCTATGCTTTTCCATGTGAGCCCTAGTTGTAAAAAGCAAAACAAAACAACACACTTACACCCCCCCACCAAGAAAATCCTCCCATCCCACCACCCATTAGAAAGGACGTCTCTAGGAAAGGTTAGAAAGAAGGTAAAGCATGTGTTTGCCATCTTTCTGCCTGATATGGAAACCATATGCTTAAATACACTAGCAAACATACTTAATATAACACTCTCTTTTATTAAATGTGGTTTTATAAACGCTCTCCCCAGCCAGGGCACCTTCCCTGTGCTGGAGGCTGGAACTTGGCAAAATAATCTTCCCGCTGTTACATCTATTGATATACATTTTTTGAAAATGAGTCTCGGACCCTCGGAAAATAGACTGGTTCTGATTATTATTGCAAGAGGGAAGGGGCACACGAGGGCATCTTTTTTCCTCTGATAAATTAAAAGAACTGTAACGGGTGCTTTCTGCAACCTGTAAAAAGGCATAGCCATCTGTGATTCATTTAGCAGCTCCTTACAGAAGATTTATTTGATTAATTCGGTCAGAAGAGAGAGAATATGGATTTTTCCCCTTCTCAGAATGGCACATATACACTCACACAGGCACATGTGCACCCACCCATGGGTAGCTATCTTAGGAATGAAAAATGACTAATCGTGTTATTGGAACTGGCAAACGTAGGGCCTCGGTGGTGAGATAGAGAGCTCCCGCCCTGCTGATGGGAGGGCCAGTTTCAGAATGGATTTAATATCCTTGGTCCCAAAGAATGAGCTACAGAATAATACAGGAGCACTGGATCGCTTTGATTAGGCATGATTGCTGGGTGTCAGGCACTGTGCTGAGCTCTTTGTACGATTATCTCACTGCCTGTCACAAGGAATTCCTCCAGGGAGGGACTGTTATTGTCCTCACTTTATAGACAGTGGGGTTACTTCATTCCCAGTGAATCTCTGCTCAAAGTTCTTTTCACTTTTGCTGATGGTATTTTGCTTCTTGGTTTCTCATGCCTAAAGCAAGTGAATGAAGGATGCTTCTTGCCTTTCTTTTATGTTGAATCACCAGGGAAGGTGTTATTTACGCTGGGTTCTCAGCTCTGGGCTGACTACTGAAAGGCAATCTTTTAGTCTTTCTAGTCTGAAGGAGAACTAGACTCCTTTTACCTTGCTTTTCTGTAATGTACATGGCCTGAAATTAGAAGCAATTATCTATAGGCTGCTGTCACTTCCTGGTGGATGGGGACAGTCCTTGAAATTGGTCCTGGGAGAAGGCAAAAAAAAAAAAAAAAAAAAAAGCAAGAGGAATCAAAATCATACAAGATCTGAGTCCAGCCCAACAAGGCTTTGAGTATATCAATATCAGAAGTCATCAATATATGGCAAGTAAATGCGCCCCTGTTCTCTCTCCCTTGCTCAAAGCAGACATTGCTAATTGATCCCAGCTCTCTTTCCTGCTAAATCTCAAAAGCTTCTCAGTACAGTCCTCCAGGCAGCCTCTACCAATAGATCTGAACGGCATATGAGTTGGAAGCTTGGTGCACTTCCTTCCAGTTGCATATTCCATTTTCTAGAGGGAGAAACAGGAGCCCAGAAAGAAGTCAGCTACAGAACAAGTGAGGAAGTCAGCCCCGTGCCTTAGCTCTCTAGTTCTCCTGACCAGTGTCTTTCACATGCACTTCAGCGAGGTTGGTCCAAGTCATGCAGTGGGTCATAAGCCTGTGGAATTGCTGGGTCTGTGCACCCCTCCTCAAATAGAATGTCACTGAAGCTGCTGGAAGACAGGATAAAAGGCATCCTCTGAGAGACTGCAGAAAATTGAAGTCTCTTTGTCATTTTAAAATAATTTAATCCCCAAATCAGAACAGGGTGGCATGGCCTGAGCCCATATGTTACAGCCCAGGGTCTAACACTCTGGAAGAACTGGAAAGTTTCCCCTGGAGACTCGGGGATCTATGGATGCTCTCACGCCCTCGCTTGTAGGCCACCGGAAATGCCTGGATCAAAGGCGACCAGGACCCAATAGGGTTACAGTACTGAGGGCTCCTGTCCTACTGCCTCAGACTTCTCTGCTGGGTGGAGTTTCTCCATGGAAAGAACAACAGGGTTGTGAAGGGGTGAAGGCATCCTCATGCCCAGAATTCCCCCCAAAGCCTCTTTCTTCTTGGCCCCTTCTAGGACCTGAAGGTAACTGCTTTGGAGGTTTGGAGCCTAGCCCCTAGTTCTGCTGAAAATCTGATTGGCAGAAAAAGCCTTTCCACAGAAGGGAAAACTTGAACCAGAAATTTGGTTCTGGGATCCAGAGCTTGAGTCTGAAAACTAGCATATTTTGAAGATCAGCTGTCATCCTATGGTGGTAGCAAGGCTGCCTGCGGGGTCTCTGGGGCACTTACTTCCAGAATAAATAAGAACGTGTGGAACTTTACCTTTCAGCACCTGGGTTGCCTACATTGCTCCCGGCTGTTTCTGAGGAGGCTTGAACACACTTTGTTTAGGCATGCCACCTTCAATCCTGTTTATACTCTGAATTTCCACTTTCTATGAAGAAAAGTTTGCTCACTGAATCCTGTTCTAGCCCAGCTCAGCCTCTTGAAAAGATCACAAATATTGAATTAGCAAAATCCTAACAAATGAGGATTTTACAGGGCTCCAATGACACCCCTTAAAGGGTTTTGTTGGCTAAACATCCTTTGTTGAATAAAGATGTTTGTCTGTATTGTAGAAGTGGTTTCTGGAATGTGCCTGACTGAGAAGGGATTGGACAGCCCTCAGAAGGAGCCAGGGTGAGGGTCTGGGTAATGGAAGAAGGTTCTCATTCCATTTAGAACTCTACTTGTGGACAACGAGTGGGCTGGGGGGCATGGTACATGAGCTGTCCCTAAAGACCCTAATGAAAAAGAGGGATTGTGTACCACTGGAGTCACAAACATCTCAGCGGCCAGGCAGATACGCACTGGCTGTTTGGCCTTGGGCACATTAGATAATGTGTCTGGTGCTTCAGTGTGAGATGCAAGGGTAATAATGAAATAAAGGAATCACAGCACCCACTTCACAAGGTTAAACTAGATAAAGCACTCAAGACAGAGACTGACACATGGTATCAAGAAAATAGGACTTCCCAAATGCCTACCAAACCACACGTGGATAAAAACTGAATGTGGTATATCCATACAATGAAATATTGTTCACCTGGTAAAGTACTGCTCCAACCCACAAAGTGGACAAACCTGGAAAACATTAAGTGAAAGAAGCCAGACAGGCTGGGTGTGTTGGCGCACGCCTGTAATCCCAGCACGTGGGAGGCTGAGGCAGGAGGATCATTGCGAGTTCGAGGCCAGCCTGGGCTACAAAGTGAGCTCAAGGCCAGCCTGAACTGCATAGCGAGACCCTGTCTCAAAAAGACTAAAAAAAAAAAAAAGAAAGAAAGAAAGAAAGAAGCCAGACACACACGGTCACATGCTGTGTAGTTCTGCTTATGTGAAATGTCGAGAATAGGCAACTCCACGAGATACGAAGTGGACTAGGGGTTGTTTAGGGCTGGTGGGGGAGGGAGAGGGGAGGCAGGTGACAGCTAAAGAGCAGAGGGCTTCTCCTTGAGGTGCTGCAAGTATTCTCAAATTGAGTGCGGTAACAATCGCCACATTTCTGTATGCTGCAATCCACTGATTTACCCTTTAAAAAGATGAGCAGGATAGCATGTGACCATCTCAGTAAAGCCATTCTAAGAAAGCCCTGACTTGTTTTTGAAGTAAGTGTAATTACAATAGCAGGGGATGCTGGAACCTTTGACAACTGCAGAGTGCTTGTCCTACCCAGAGACATTCAGATAAAACACACACACAGACACACAACATACCCATGGGTCACACTTGTCCTCAGTTTCTTCATCTGCTAAGAGAGAAAGTTCTTCCCTGAAAGCACTGTTGGGAGGAAAAAATGAGATAATTATTCTGCAACACATGGCATAGAGTTTGACATGTACTGGACACACCGGAGACAGTGGTGACCATGGTCATGATTGCGTGAAGACTCTAGAACTCCAGGCTGCAGGGCTTTGGGGGACAGCCTGGTTGGAAAGAGAGGGAACTGCAAAGGGGTGGAGTACAGAGGCGGTAACATTTCCAAATCAAGCCTACTACATCTGCTCATGTCCTAGGTTACAATAAAAAATATTTGCAGCTTTTAAAAGCTGCCTTTATGCCTTTGTTCAGATGGTTATGAACACATCTATATCAAAAGTAGCTTTATTATTCTTTAAAAGTTGAGGTGTCTCTGATGGAGGCTGATGCAAGTTATGGTGGAAAAAAGTCTTCTTGATTGCTGCAAGGTACCCATGGGTGCTCCTAAGCACTACTGTCAGAATGAAGTGTTTAAGACAAAGGACCATGTACAAAGGGCATTAGACCATCAAGGGCTCACTTTGGACCTGACTTCTTCACTTACCAACTGTGCAATTTAAGGAAAATGATTCCTCTAGATTTCAGTGTTTTCAACTATAAAATGCAAAGCAAAACATTTCAGTGTATTTGATAACAGCGCCAATTTTATTGGCCAAGAGAGCCAAACTAGCCTGTTTTAAAGGTTTCCTAGAGACTGAGACTTTTACCTTTCCCCCCAGTGGTCTTGGGGTCCAAGAATCCCAAGTGGGAATTCCTGGAAATA